ACAAATAAATCACAACTCTTTTGATATCATCATACTTCGAATTTAATAATATTTATTCAACTACAAATTAGATCTTATTTCTCATGGGAACGATACACTTAACTCATATATTTTATTACTTGTACAACGATCTCGTACGCTTACGGATTTCACGCGAACAATAGCCTTTACTTCAAGATTTGAAGTCCCAAGAAGAAACAAATAATTTCTTTCTCCAAACCCAAGTCCCAATTTCACGTACATCAATTTACAGACCCTAAAACCATTAGTCCGCATACTAATTTTTTATTTTGTTTTTGAAAAATGCTTTTACAAATTCTAACAGATAAAATGAGAAAGACAAATTAAGAATCAACAAGCGAACTGATCTCTAAGCTGCTGGGAAATTTGTTCAAAAATTGGAAGCCTTCTTGATCTAGCAGGAGCCCATTCATTCATCACACGTTCAAGCACTTCAGCAAAATCATCTTCAAAAGTTGGATCTTCAGGAAGATTTGGCGTTAACGATGGCAAAGGCATCCCAGATTCCTGCAACTCTAACGACAACTCCTCCGCACGATTTCTCGACTTCGAATCATCAGAACGAGGGAGTTTATACTGCAGTACTTCTTGAAGAACTGAACGTGCCTCTTCGTTTCGACCCTGTTTCATTAGGCAATGGCACAAGTTGCAGGCCTTGTTCGCTTCTGGGTCGATCATTTGTGCTTTACGGTATACAACTTCTGATGCCATGTAATTGCCCTTTTGCATGTAAGCCCAGCCTAGATTTCCCTGTTCCAAAACCATGGTTTTTACTCCATCCAAAATCTTCCAACTCTCGAACATGCATACATACATAAGAATTGAAGAAGAAATGTGGTGTATATAATTACCAGTATTCTGGCAATTTCCTGCCTTACTGAAACTCGAAACTTCTTGCCGTGACAGCGCGCGGTCTTTGATGGCTTCCCATTGAAGGCCTCTCCTGTGTATATCAGTCTAAGCTTATGCTTCAGCAGCATTATTTGTTCATCAACTTTTCCACATTTCTACAACTCAAAAATAAAAATGAATAAGGTGTTATAAATGTACATTGTATAAAGACAGGAATTAGGAAACTCTTAGATTTGTTCGGCAGGACTTTTGCTTTTTCTTTCTGCTTGCTGTAAAATAGTTTTTCGATAAAGTTACTTTAAGCCAACTTTCCTTAAAAGCTTTTTTATCTAGGCAACAATTTGGCATGACTTTTGAAAAGTCAAAAGCCACTTTTGGACTCGTCTATATATTAATTTTATGAGAGTGCTTCTTCTAATTGATTGGTTTCCTTCAAAAGTACTTATGAAATATGATGCTTTTTAAGAAATAAGTTTTCAAACAAAAATTAAGACGAGAAAACACTTTTACATGAAACAAAAGTCACGTTAAACGGATCCAAATAACTTTCAATAAATTATTAAAAAATGTTCGAAACAATTTCTTAATCTAATAAAGGTTTTGACTTGTTAAAATCTTTGTTAAACGGGCTCTTAATTGTGAATGTAGTCTGTCATTTTTCCCAGAGACAGACATCAAACATTACGTGGATTCTTTTATGCCACTCGATATAATACGCAAGAAGCCCCTCTTTGTTCTACATTTTCTTTCAATCAGTAGAAATTTTGTGACCCTTTTTTTTCAAATTGATGGGGCCCATTATCACACATTTTGGTCAAAAATGTCGGCTAGAAATCTGTGCAACAGTCACAATTATTATACAAATGGGGAAAAAATGTAGAACAAACAGGCCGAGGTGTGAGAATTTACGACTTCCAAAGGGACATCCTACGACCCAGAAAGGTCCCTGACTTCTATAATCTTAAAGGTAGACTTTAATTAAATTTTAGTCTAACGTCATTGTTAGGCAAATTGTTGTCAAATGATATTTCGAACTATGATATTAAATTCAGTCGGCATCGAGCCATCGATCAATGACTGAAGTGAACTATTTATACCCCAAATGTAACGACCTAAACCTATAACTTATTTGAGTCATTTGAAGTAATCTAATTTAATTAGAACTACTCATGACCCGAGCCGTTATTCATTGGATGGCTTTTGGTATTTGGCATACTTATTAGTTACCTATTATGTTTTTGGACCTAATCACTATTTACCCTAAAAGCCCACCTATGACCATATATTGGCATGTCATGTTGCTTTGTGTGTTGAACGTTATTGCTTAGCCCCTTTCTGGAGAGATACCGGTTGCGTTCTTTTGCTTCATGCTCTCCCTTTCTATAATGTGTTTCGCCTTTCTTTTTCTTTAACCTTTGTGACTTGTTGTGTGGCTGTAATAACCTCTTACTTGTGTCCTTAGTGGGCAATACAACAGCAACCGAATTGGGTGTAGGTTGTCAGATTGGGTTTGTAACTCTGGTGGTGTCGATCTCGATTTTTATCATACGGAGCCCGAAAAGTCTTGGTGGTCAATCTTCTGCTCAACAGTCATGTTTAGACAAATAATACCACTTTTTGAAAGATATCAAGTTTTTGCCAATGAGAATATGACAAAATCCATCGTTTATGGGCTTTATTTCAAATGGGTACTTTTTACTTTTTGAGAATTATGATTATTTTTGTTTACTTTCCTTTTTCTTTTTCTTTAGATGGGTTGATTTACAATTTCTTTGATTTATATAATATTCAGTTTAAAATTTATGATGACAATGGTAGACTTGCCAGTTAAGCACAACAAGAAAACGAGGGTGGGTTCATTGCTACATACATGAATAATTCATGCCCACAATCAAAAGAAAATATCAAAGAGTGTTTGCAGCATAACTTAAGAGCTTGTTTGGGAGAGATTTTTGGGGGAAGAATTGATTTTGAATAGTGATATGATGGGAAATGTGTGGTTGAAAAAGAAGAAAAAATTATTGATGTGATGGAAAATACTATTTTATTGAAGAATGTGTGATTGAAAATGAGAATTGATTTACTGTATAAAAATTTAATCCCTCCCAAACATGGCCTAAATCTATATTATATACCTTGTACAAGTCAATGAGAACATTGTCGAGTGATTCTTGGGCTTGTTTTGGGCAAAGGCCTCTGAAGGACTTGACGGCTTCAATTGCTTCTTCAGTTCTATTCAGCTGTTTCATAATCACGGCCATATCCTTAAGAGCACTATCCACTCTATCTCCTGCATTAATGGCTTTCCAAAACCATATTATTGCTGTTTCTGGATCTTTCTCGACCAACTGAAAACTCACAAAATATATATTAAAAAAAAGATATATCAAAATAATTAATAATATACCCATAACATTGACGCACTAAATTTCATGATCTAGTTTTTTTTTAAAAAAAGTGTTAACTAGGGAAAAAACTCGAAGTAAAATAATACATATCAATTAACAGTTCACGAAAAACTTCAGCAACTAATAGTATAACATTTTGAGATATAACTTAAATAGCCCAAAAAATTTAAAGAAGTTCGATTAGATCAAAGGAATAGTTGGATTCGAGATTGGTATTCTCAAACAAATCAAATAAAACGCGACAAACACCTAAACATCCTATTTGTTAAAAACGTAAAACACAAACCGCCATGGAATATGGTACAAAATATATCATTGTATTCTACAAACGAAATATTTAATTACAAAAAGATATTAGTTTAAACCTAATCACTTGTTAATTTTATGTTAATTTAAGAACTAAAAAATTGTTTGTTGAAGCATGAAATTAAGTTACTTACTAGTAGAAGCCACAAAAAGTCTATTATAATGTGCAAGTTTTCAACTACTTTGCTAAAAAATTTCCCAAAAGTTTTACTAAAGTTTGTTTTAGGTTTCTAAATATCATTAAATTTTTTATTTTCAAAATGAACACACTCACATCCTAAAAGTTTCCATGCATCTAGGTTTTAACAAAGTTGACCTATAAGTCGAACTCTTAAAGTCGAGATCGAGATCGAGATCGAGATCGAAATTTGAAAGATGGAAAGCAGACCTGAGCATGCTTAGCCCTTACATAAGGACCATCACCTGAAGGAACCTTGTGAATTACATGAAAGGGCTCTGTTTCTTTCTTCACGACCATCTTCTTTAAACCACCTTCCATTTTTATATACATCCACAATTTAATGAATCTACAGAGAGAAGATACTAATTCGTTATATATAGAGATAATTGCAACAGCGGTCCCAAAGCTATCACATTTTTGCAGACTTTACCTTAACCTTTACTTTGTGCCATCCATAGTCCCAAAACTTTCAAAAATTAGCATTTGGGGTCCAAATGGATGATTTCTGTTAGTTTGACTGCTAGTTGACCAAGAATAATAGACTTTGACCAATTTTGAAAAAATTAAAAATGACAAAATGGTAACTATACAATTTTCTCATTAAATAAAAAAAGGAAAAACACCTCTCCTCTTTCCCAAGCAACACTGCCGACATATTGTCGGCACTACCACCACGCCCATCTCCTTCTCTAACCTCACTCTCACCAATTTCCCCCAAAACGTTACCACCACAATCAAACCAAAACAACACACCCAAAACAATATGTCGGCAGTGTTGCTTGGGGAAGGGAAGAGAGGTGTTTTTTTTTTCTATTTAATGAAAAAATTGTATAGTTACCATTTTGCCCTTTTTTATTTTGTCAAAATTGGTCAAAGTCTATTATTCTTGGTCAACTAACAGTCAAACTAGCAAAAATCATCCATTTGGACCCCAGGTGCTAATTTTTGAAAGTTTTGGGACTGTGGATGTCACAAAGTGAAAGTTAAGATAAAGTCTGCAAAAAAGTGATAGGTTTGGGACCGCTGTTGCAATTATCCCTTATAATATATATACCCAATCATACAAAGAACTAATGAATGTGGATGATTCAACGTCTATATTCTAACAGACAAAGAAAAGCTGCTTACAGGTGACACGTCTCTTCATGTTCCCTGTAGTTATAGCGACTAGCCTTTTTTTAAAAAAAATAAATAAATAAAAAGAATAATAATAATTGTTGAGTTTTTCACTGTCAAATGCGGAGGAATCTAATGTTCCCCCAGAGAGTAGATAATAGGTTTTCGAATTTTTCCATTTGTACAGAGAAATCACCAAAGAAGTTCAACAGAAAACTCACATGGAGATGAGCCACAGTGAAATTAAATATTGCAAAAAATGCGGGCCCACCTTTATTGTGTGTGTTCTGACAATTTTCTGCCTGCAGTTTTCTGTACACACAGCAAAGCTGTATATGGATTATAAATAGATTTTGAGTTACTTTATCCCTGTTTGGTAACTATAGAAAATTTGATTAAAATTTAAGTCAAAGCTGTTTGTTCTTGAAATGAGTGACATGTAACGAGACATGAATTTTAGGCGCTTTGTATTCTATTGTTGCGTGTTACTATGTTAAGATTAGTTTCAAGTCAGTAGTCATCACTCATTTGCTAGTTGAGCAAATCTTTGTTGATTTGCTAGCTTCTGCGTCCGAGCTCCCGATTTTAAAACTCTTTTTTCTCATACTTATTTTCAATTATACATTCTTACAATAAAATATTATTCTATGGCAAGCAAAAATGACCCCCAAATCCACCAAATGTTATCACCCGTAATTTGGTCAAAAGACCGTTTTGGCCGCCCTCACACAATGGAAAAAATATATGCATTGATACCATGATAATACATGAATGTGATGTGACGAATGATGGCTTGTCAAGCTATTTGGACATTTTAAATTGAAATAATGTTATTCATAATCAGCGACGACAATAATCCTACGTTGCAACTTGTTATTTAAGGTGTTAATTTTCTATAATTCTGTTACTTCAAATAACAAGTTAATGTCTCAAATAATAAGCTACTACATAGAATGATTACTAAAGTTGCCGACTATAAATAGCATTATTTTGATTTTGCGGCATACAATTTTCAATTTAAATTTCCCAATTTAAAGTATCACATTATGATAAACATTAATGTTGGTCGGTCGGGTCAGTGACCGATCAGAATCTACACCTCAACCCCTGATTTGATAAAAAGGGCCCTGCATGAATTCAAATCAGGGGCCTAGGTGCATCCACCTCGACCCCCTGGAGTTGGCCCCGATAAAAATCTAATTATAATAAGAAACAAACATGAAGTAATTGATGTGAAAAGCACTTGACGTACCTAGTCAAAATATCTTATATTAAAGATTCCTCGTGGGTCCTACTGCTGATTCTGAATCTAACCTGTCTTACAAGACAAATACATTAACATCAATCCTATTAAACACTTTTTGTTTTTCCATTTGAATTTTGTCCATTTCTTCAACGATTTTATGAACCTGGACGAGCTTATGAACCATGTTAGTGTGAATATCAACAAGACAGTGCACCTCCTGCCATGAGATAATGAAAGCGAGCATTGTCGTTACTTTACTGCCAAAATTTGTAAAAGAATATATCATTGACTCGGTAAAATATGAAAAGAGGACGAAAACGTTACTCGAAACACTTCAATACCATGACCGACCTTAACTATAGGCATCATAGGCTATTGCCTAAAGCTAGGGACATAAACAGGGGGAAGGCTTGGACTCTCTTCCAGAGCAATCGATCTCAATTATTATTATTATTTTTAATCATAATTAAATATATGGAGTAAAATTAAAATTTTATTTTCGATACGCAATACTTGAATTTGCAATCAAATATCTTTTAATATAGCAGGCCGGCCCTGGCCCAAGGCTACTAAGGCAGCAGCTTGGGCCTCAAATTTTTAGGGGCCACACGAAAAAAAAACCAATACACTCTGTTGGGCCGAAAATATTAAATCGCCCTAACAAAAAAGCCCCAGCCCAAAAGCCCAATAAAAACCCTCAAATATCCTTACAAATTACCATCATCTTCATTCTTCAACTCTCGCCTCAGAGCCTCTTCTGAGTCTTGAGACTCTTTAGTTCATGATTATTTTGAAATCTGACATTCACTCATCAATTATTGGCCTTCTTCTGGTTAACAATTTTTGGAAGCTCTTGTAGTGAGCACTGAGCAGAATAAGTGGACTGTGGATTTCTGTGATTGAATTTGACGGTTACTGTCTAATGAAATTTGGTAATGCTTTAAGTTTAATTTTTAGTTTTTAAATATGTTGTCAGTTCAATGTTTAATGCATATTCATTTGCTTCTAATTTCTTGATGTGGGTTTCTTTAATCTTGATGAATGGTGATGCTCTGTATTTTTCTTCGTTTCTTATGTGAAAAAATATAATATTTGAATGTCGAAGAGAACACAAATCGTTCTTATGCTTTAGATTAATTTTTCAAGTTTATAGGCTTATAGCCGTGTTAATTTCAATTATTCTGTTTACCTAGTGGTTTTTATAACCTTGATGGGGTAGTGAGGTTACATGGTATTCATGATTTCTATTGAAAAAAATATAT